GCCTGCGCGTCCAGAGCCTGTGCTCCGCAGCGAGAGAGGCCACAGCAGTGAGAGGCCCGCGTACCAAAAAAAAAAAAAAAAAGTACGTAGGTTGAGAAACAAAGGAAGAAATAGCTTGTTAGTCATCAATTTAGAAGAACACCATCCACTGATAAAATGTCTTCAGGGAAGAGAACCTTAGCAGATGCAGCAACCGGCAATCCCATGGCCCATCCCTCCTCTCTGCACATCGTATTTTGCATTTTCACTGCTAAAAGTAAACAACAAAAGAAAAGAAAGGCAGCTTCAAAAGCTAGATCACTGGGTGAAAGTCTCAAAGAGGCAGAGCTCAGGAAGAGTCTACAAACGGATGGGGGCTTCTGACTAGAGACGGTGGACTGCACATCCCTGCCCACCTTGCTCCCTCCACAAACTCCACTGGAACCACAGCCGTGGGAATTAACACACACACACCCATAGAGCCAAACATATAAAACCAAAGCATGCACCGGAGATGAGATAGAACTAATGTGTGGTGTTAACAGAAGACCAGCAGTTAAAAAGTAGTATCTGCGGCTTCCCTGGTGGCACAGTGGTTGAGAATCTGCCTGCCAATGCAGGGGACACGGGTTCGAACCCTGGTCCGGGAAGATCCCACATGCCGCGGAGCAACTGGGCCCGTGAGCCATGGCTGCCGAGCCTGCGCGTCCGGAGCCTGTGCTCTGCAACAAGAGAGGCCGCGATAGTGAGAGGCCCGCGCACCGCGATGAAGAGTGGACCCCACTTGCCGCAACTAGAGAAAGCCCTCGCACAGAATCGAAGACCCAACACAGCCATAAATAAATAAATAAATAAATAAATATATTTTTAAAAAAGGTAGTATCTAACTTGGCCCACTACAAAATATGAAAACTACATGGCTGCAAAGGTAGAAAAACTAAAAATGCAGCAAATATACCGCCAATGAATCACAAAAGACCTTGGGAATCAGCAGTACAGACCCCTCTAAGGGTGGGACTGAAATCCAGAAGACTGACCAGTGGACCGTCTGTAGAAACAGTCACACCTCTCCTTCCCCTCCCTCGCCTGGCATGGGTGCCCAACTTCTCTACCCCAGAGCCTTAGGAAAGATAATGACTCTTTTGAAACCCTACATGTCTGTAAATATCTTTAATTTTCAGACCTGAAAGGGACCCTAGATTTAGAGATAACAGTAATTGAAAGCAAGTGTTCCCAGAGCGATTAGTTGAAAGTCTAAATATTGAATAGTACAACCCCAGCCTCTTACTCCCACTGAGTTCCCAGAACCCTGGCAGCCAGGTCTACATACGCCCAAGCTGGAGACAGGAAGACTCCTTTCTAGGGAAGCTCACAGGCCCAGGAGTAAAGACCTACAGACGGGACTTCCCTGGTGGTCCAGTGGTTGGGACACCGTGCTTCCACTGCAGGGTACACGGGCTCGATCCCTGGTTGGGGGACTAAGATCCCACATGCCGTGCAGTGTGGCCAAAACAGAAAACAACAAAAAACCCACCCTACAGACACTGACATTTAGAGTGTCCCCCAACAAAATACTGGGTTTCTGCCCAGTCACCTACAGTGAAATCTCTCATTCAACAAGCCCACCCCCTGCATAAAGTCTCTATAGCCTTTTTTTGGTGGCTCACTCTTAAATGAGTGGAGAACCAAGAATAACCAGACATCTGAAGTGTGGCTCTAGTAGAAAAGACAGAAAAACAGCAACTTGGAGGAAACAGTCTCAGTGTGGGAAAATGTAGAGGAAAATTTCCAAACACCACTATCATTGTTCTCAGAGACAGAGAAGCCAGGGCATCCGTGAAACAAGAACAGGCTATAAAAGGCAGCAGGGCAATTCATAAACAAGAGTTTTCAGAAACTACAAATTAAAAGTGACACAGGCAAAATAAAGTTTGCGATAGAACAGCTAAATGATCAAGTCAAGGAAACTTCCCAGAAAACAGGGTAAAATGTCATAAATGTACTGAAACAAAGAAAAGATAAGAAAATTCAAGAACTGGGAATTCCCTGGCGGTCCACTGGTTAGGACTCTGCGCTTCCACTGCAGGGGGCACGGGTTCGATCCCTGGTAAGGGAACTAAGATCCCACAAGCCGCAAGGCGAGGCCAGAAAAAAAAGAATGGAAATTCAAGAATTAAACCAGGAGATAAAACCAAATTCCTGAACAAGAACAGAGATGAATGGGGGCATGGCGTGGGGTGGTTTCCAAAAAACAGTATAGGATAAATAACGGACTAAAAGTACCGTCCATGCCTAGCTCACCGAACAATAAAAGACCCACCTTAAAGCACATCATTGGGACATTGTAAAACAGGAAATTTTTTCAAAAAGATCTCAGCCACAAAGGATGAGGGGTCAGAACGGTCTCAGATTTCTCAATGGCAACATCGGAAGCCAGAAAACAATGCAATGTGGTGCCTTCAACATTCTAAGAAACGGTGTGAGGGTAGTATGAAGAAATTTACAGAATGCAAGGTCTCAGAAAATGTTCCTTCTAAGCACTCCTTTTCAGAAAGCTTTTGGAAAACAGGTTCCATCAAAAGGAAGGAGTAAACCAAGAAAGAAAAGGGATCCAGTGAACAAGGACACCACAGGGAACAGCCACGGGAACCCCCCATTCAGAGGACGGGGAAAGGAAATCCCAGGAAGACCCAGCAGCAGCCTGGGGAGCAGCCAGTCCACCTGGAAGGGAGGTGCCAGACACTCTGAAAGTTCCCACGCTACCAGAGGATTTGGTGATATGTCAGTGACAAATAAAACAGAGCTAATTAACACCAGATAAAACAGAAGGTCCTATTAGAAAGGAATTACAGTCATAGCATTGTGGATCAGCAAGGACTGACACTTCAGTCATAATAACCTAAACACTAAATGAGTAATAGTTTAGCCAAATGTCGTACAAGGACAGAGGGAGTGGAGAGGGAGGACGGGGGTAAGAAACCTAACCCTCATTTTCCATAGTAGGAACTTAACAAATACGTAAAACTGAGGGGGGTGTGAGATGAAGAAACAGATTCATAAGCATATATAAAAAATATGGAAAAAAATACCATAAGTAACAGCTATGAGTTGGACGAGTTCCTTCTGGGAAGTGGGGAAGGGTGGGACAGAGGACAGGTGTCCTTTGTTAGAAGCCAGGTAAGATTAAATGAACACACAAATACAAAGTTGCAGGTACAGAACATGAAGCTGCGAGAACACGTGCTTTCAGGGCCTCCCTGAGGAACTAGCATCTGACCAGGGATCCAAGGCTGGGGTTCGGCAGGGTGCCTCCCAGGCAGAGGGAAGAGAAATGCACAACCCAGGAGCCCAGAGTGGGGATACAGTGTGGGGAGGGGGCCCGTCGTCATCATCGAGCAGAGGGTGGACCATCCGGTGCCAGGGACACGGCAGAAAGGGAAGCGACGTTTGTCAGGGATGGGGGTACAGGCTGAGTTAGAGAGTATTTCAGAATCCCTGAGGCTCTGTGAGTGTTCACATCTCCAGAACACACTGTCCTCACTACCGAGAAGATGTGGAAGGTGAGGCTGGTAACTCCCTGACACACCCTGGCAAGAGAAATTCTCATACAAACCCACAGCTGTCCAACTCCAGGGGGGACAGGTCAGGTCACAATACCTTTCCAAACTGCCGCAGAAGCTGAATAAATGCTCCTTTGCCAAAGGGGTTAGTAAGACTTGCGTGGAAAGCAAGTGTCGGGTAATCTTGGGAGAGGATGGCAACCCATCGTTTCTAAAGTGAGAAAAGAAAAGAAGCAGGTAAACTGTGAGCTGTTTATTTACAACATAGGAAGAACCAGAGCTTGAATAACAGGATGGTACTTCATATACACAGTTGTCTAAGGAAAATGTTAGCTGTAATTCTTTGAAATATTTTTTTCAAGTATGACAGCTGATGCTTTGTCTTTTTTTTTTAAATTTATTTATTTTTGGCTGTGTTGGGTCTTCGTTGCTGCACGCTGGCTTCCCCTAGTTGTGGTGAGTGGGGGCTACTCTTCGTTTGTGGTGTGCAGGCTTCTCATCACGGTGGCTTCTCTTGTCACAGAGCACGGGCTCTAGGCCCATGGGCTTCAGTAGTCGTGGCACGCGGGTTCAGTAGTTGTGGCACACGGGCGTAGCTGCTCCGCGGCATGTGGGATCTTCCCGGACCAGGGCTCGAACCTGTGTCCCCTGCATCGGCAGGCAGATTCTTAACCACTGTGCCACCAGGGAAGCCTGTCTTTTGTCTTATAAACACAAAACAATATTCCAAAAATGCCTTCATTGCTACTAAATGCAACTAATGTAACATAATGTGAAACAGACCTGGGGCCTCGGCAGCCGCCCCTTCTGAAGGGCGCACACCATTCATCCTATGGGCACTGCAGCTGTCCCACTGCTAACCATCAAGGGTCAAAGGTAACTGCCCAGGACTTCTCTGGTGGTGCAGTGGGTAAGAATCCACCTGCCAAAGCAGGGGACATGGGTTTGAGCCCTGGTCCAGGAAGATCCCACGTGCCTCAGACCAACTAAGCCCGTGTGCCACAATTACTGAGCCTGCGCTCTAGAGCCCATGAGCCACAACTACTGAAGCCCACGCGCCTAGAGCCCGTGCTCTGCGAAAGAGAAGCCACCGTGATGAGAAGCCTGCGCACTGCAACGAAGAGTAGCCCCTGCTCACCACAACTAAAGAAAGCCTGCGCGCAGCAACAAAGACCCAACACAGCCAGAAATAAATGAATTAAAAAAATAAAAAAAGGCAACAGCCGATCACCAATGAGGCCGATTTTAGTTTTGTTTTCGATGAGGACACTTGAATGACTACACCCTCAATAGTGCAACACCTCAACTGCTGCCTCAAATCCTAGAGACCACGACACTGACTTATTCATGGGTAACTCAGAGCCTGCACAAGCCATGTGGCCTTGGTCAGCTGTTTTGCATTAGCAACTGTACTTACCGTTGCCCAGGTTGGAACAAGGTCACATTTGTTAAGAACAAAAATGAGGTGTTTCCAGGGTTTCTCCTTTTTCAAGTAAGTCTCAACGTGAGGGGAACGGGTACCCATTGGATCTCTAGCATCAAGAACTTGAACTACAACATCTGATGAATCTATCACCTGCAAATTCAAAGAGGCAAAAGTGACTTGCTACAGGAGTACAAGGGCAAAATGAAAGAGAGAAGACATTTAAGGGAACCTGGGAAAAATAAAGCAACAATAGAGATAACCTCTCAACAGTCTTATGAAGAGAGCAGGTGGTAGCCAATCTCAAAGCCCAGGGATCAGTACTCAAAAAGGTGTTTTCATCCTGTGGGTATCTGAAACTTGTTGAATTCCAAATAGAACTAGCTTGCATGAAACCAGTCTATTTCACGACTGCTATGCATTAGTGAGCAGAACCATTTACTTCTTTTTTAAAAAAATATTTTATTTATTTATTTATTTGGTTGCACTGGGTCTTAGCTACGGCTCGAGGGCTCCTTAGTTGCAGCAGGCTCCTTAGTTGTGGCATGCGAACTCTTAGTTACTGCATGCATGTGGGACCTAGTTCCCTGACCAGGGATCGAACCCAGGCCCCCTGCACTGGGAGTGCAGAGTACTATCCACTGCACCACCAGGGTAGTCCCTCATTTACTTCTTAGACCTCTAAGCTTCCATGTTATAGATTTTGAGTATTTTATAAAAAAAACTAAAAAATTTTGTTTGCTTTCATGGTACTAGTTTCCTATCATGTTACTATTTGATTACATGACTATGCTTGAAAGTCTTCGTTACCGAGAATATTACTTGTGTAGTTTTGTGGACCTAAAACTCAGCCAGCTGAAGAGAACTAGACCGGGACTCAGGAGACACAAAGCCTCTTGCACTAACTACCTGGGTAAGCTGGGGAAGGTATTCAAGCTTTCTAGACTTGAATTCTCATCTGTAAAATGAGAGGGCTGGACTAAGTAACTCAAAAATTCTCAAGCAGCTCTAACCATGTATAATAAATCTCAACAGGAATATCACTTTAGCAGGTAATCCAAAGAAATATTAACAGAGAATATGTGAATCTATGCAATGTGGTTGTTACTATTATATGAGTAATAAAAAAATGCAGTTATCTAGAACAATGGTAGTACGTGCACAGGCATATCCATCCTGGAGGTGGAATTTGTATCGTCAGAGCTTCAATAGATCCAAGTCAGTTTTCTCATATAAGATCATGAAAGCCAAAGGAACCACTCAGTGAGACAGAACTTAAAGTCTTACCTTGTAGAGTTCACCCCATATTCTTTTAGACTGTCCCTTTTTATATATCTCTTCTTGGGCTTCATTTCTAAATAAGAAAAGACCCAAAGTGAGCAAATGAAGCACTATAAAGATTAAAAGGATGTTTTAGGGAAAAAACCATGTGCCAAGGGAAAGCAGTATCAAAACTAGTATCAACATCACTAATTATTAGAGAAATGCAAATCAAAACTACAATGAGGGGCTTCCCTGGTGGCGCAGTGGTTGAGAGTCCGCCTGCTGATGCAGGGGATATGGGTTCATGCCCCGGTCCGGGAAGATTCCACGTGCCACGGAGCAGCTGGGCCCATGAGCCATGGCTGCTGAGCCTGCGCGTCCGGAGCCTGTGCTCCGCAATGGGAGAGGCCACAACAGTGAGAGGCCCGCGTAACGCAAAAAA